TCTTATTTCAGAAACAATTTTTTTCTTTTTTTAAATCAGCAGTGGGGACAAGTGAGGGAATGACATATTGGTATATTTTAATTACCTAAAATAAATAAAAAATAAAAATTGATAATTTTATTTTTATTATTTTGTTAGCTTGCATTCTGAAAGACACTTTCAATGAATTTTTTTTCGTAAGCTGTAAAACAAACATAAAATATACTGGGGACATGAAAATGACTGTTTTTGTGAGAATGACCCATATATATATACAGAGTATGGACAAAATAACCGAAACAAAACTGTACTAACACTTTCTTTAATTTTCCCCAAAAAATACTTAGCGAATTGCTTTTATAAATTAATCAGAGTAAGGTTTTGCGATTTTACATAACTATTATAGAAGCACTTCGCTTATTGAGGTTTGATGGGCAATAAATCTGCGTAATTTAAGGGAGTGACCTGTATAATTTAAAAGTTATGAACTTTTTTTATTTTAATTTTTCTAAAATTTCGTGCATTTTCTAGAAATAATTCATGAGTGCAAATATACTGACTGTACAGGAAAAAATACAAAATGTGCAGCAAATGGTATCTATTATAATTGTGAGTGCTTAGAAGGATTTAGACCAAAAGATGAAGCAAAGAAAGGACTAAAGGATGCGGATTGCATTGGTAAGCAAAGCTTCTCATTTAAATCAGACATTCCTTTCCAAAATTGAAAAAAAAATCAAGGTATAATAAGAATTAAATATTTGAATGAGGATTATAAGTATTGAATAAAAAAGTGAAAAATTAAAAAAACATGAGAAATTACGTTTTGTCGTGAAAAAGATATTATATATTATTTTCATTTACTTACACTTTTAAAATATTCTTAAAAAATACTTAGAGATTTATTTTATCAATTAATGAGCTATTACGTTTTTCGATTTCACATAATTATCATTGAAGAAAATGGCTTTTAGAGGTTAGAAGAACTAACAATAAATTAAAAACAGAAAATAGAGTTTTTGTACAACCTATGCCAAAAAGTGTAGCAATAAATTTTGTAAATTGTAACAACTAACTTCGTTATTATGTGTGACTATGGCACAAAATTTCCTAATCTTGGCTTAAATATTTTTGGATATAAGGGCATTTTTATTAAAAAATTATTTTTGTGTCTAATATTATTTTCCGATAATTTAAAAATGCTTCAAAAATTATTCATTATGCAACTATTACTTATTTAAAAAAGATAAACATGTAAATCTCATTTAAAAACGCATCAGGGTCGTACATTATACAATACCTCCTTTAAATAATATCTAAAAACACTACTAATTAAATTACAGCGATGAAATATATTTTAAAAGACAAATTAGTTAATCTTCATCATAAGAGCCATAATTTTTAAATAAAATTTGATTGTATAAAATGTGTTCAAATAAAATTAAAGGACGTGTATTTCATCAAACAAATTTTTCTGATGCAACATAATTAAAACATGAACCTGTTATTTGAAAATGCGTAAGAGTCACATAATATCCGAAACCTCCTATAAAAAAATATGAACTTCTTTCCTTAGATACCACAGTTTCAAGGATATTATTTTAATACAAATTCTTGAAATGTATCAGGAAAACAACGAAAAATATTAAAAAAATGAAATAAATGAAAGGATGAATGATATTCGTTAATAAATGCATCTTTTTGCTTTGATCATTTTGAAAAATGTTTGAAATTAAAATAAAGTTTTGAATTACTTCTGAACCTGATCAAATAATAAGAGTTAATAGAATTATATGCAGCGCAGTTTTACGTGAATTGGTATCCTTTAATCAATTTTTTCTGTCCTCTTGTATCAACCTTTTTAGCTTTTTATCTTTTATTTTGTATTGAAACATTAATTATAAAATCTAGGGATGACAACAAATAACAAATAAAATAATGTTCTGCTTCTTAGACAATTTTGTAGTTGCATTAAAAAAAAGGACTTGAAAATACCGTGACACGTAAGTAAATATTTGCGTTTACTTGAAAAAACATAATTTTAAATGGGACAGTGCTTGATTTTCTTTTTAATGGACAGGTGGTTTGAAACTGCGTATTAAAAAGTAAAAAAAAATGGCTCTGTAAAAAGTTATTAATTGAGTCGTATTATTTAAGTGTCATGAATTTTTTTCACCTTCTTTTTAAAAATTTTCTTACATCTTTTAGAAATAATTCATGAGTGCAAAGACACTGACTGTACTGGAAAAAATACAGAATGTGTAGCGTATGGCAACAAGTATACTTGTGAGTGCATAGAAGGTTTTAGACCGGAAGATGAAGCTAAAAGAGGACAAAAGAATGCGGAATGCATTGGTAAGCAAAACTTCTAAATAATACGAGATATTCCCTTCCAAAATTTAAAAAAAATCTATGGATAATAAGAATCAATTATTTGAATGATGATTATAAGTATTGAATAAACAAATAAAAATTCAAAAACCATGAGAAATTACGTTTTCTCCTGAAATTTATTTTTGTAATTTACATACACTTTCAAAATATTCTTAAAATTTCTTAGAGAATTATTGATGACGAACATAGCTTTTAGACGTTAGAAGGACTAACAATAAATTAAAAGCGGAAAATAGTGATTTTGTGCACCATATGCCAAAAAGTCCAGCATTGCAACTTGTAACAATTATTTTTATTATTATGTACATTTATGGCACAAAATACGTAAACCTGGCTGAAGGATTTTTGGATATAAGGGGGTTTTTCCAAAAAGAAATTATTTTTTTGTCTAACATTATTGATGCGATAGTTTAAAAATATTTAATAAAATTATTCATTATGCAACTATTACTCATCTAACTGAAAATAAACATGTAACTGTCATTTAAAAACGCGTAAGAATCACATAATATCTAATAATTCATCTAAATAATATCTAAAATGACTCCTAATAAAATTACAGTAATGAAATTAATATTAAAAAAGTAAGTAAATAATTTGCACCAATAAGAGTTGTTAATATATTTCGATTTTTGTATAAATGTTTACAAGTGAAAAAAAGGAAATGTGATTCACCATACAACTCTTACTCATCTAACATAACTAAAACATGTAATTTTTATTTAAAAATGCGTAAGTCACTTAATATCCAATACCTCTTCCAAAAAATTATGATTTTTTTAAAAAAAAAGGAAAAGGCTCTGTAAAAAGTTTTTTGGGGAGTCGTATTATTTACGTGTCATGATTTATTTTTAATCTTCTTTTTAAAAATTTTCTTACATCTTTTAGAAATAATTCATGAGTGCAAAGACACTGACTGTATTGGAAAAAATACCGAATGTGTAGCGAATGATAACGGGTATATTTGTGAGTGCGTAGAAGGTTTCAGACCGAAAGATGAAGATAAAAAAGGGCGAAAAAATGCGGAATGCATTGGTAAGCAAAACTTCTAATTAATACGACGTTCCGTTCCAAAATTTAAAAAATATCTATGGATAATAAGAATCAATTATTTGAATAAGGATAATAAGATTTGAATAAATAAATGAAAGATTAAAAAAAACGTGAGAAATTATGTTTTATCATGGAAAAGATCTTATTTATTATTACCGTCTACTTACACTTGTAAAACAATTTCAAAAATACTTGGAGAATTATTTTATTAATTAATAAGCGATTACGTTTTTTGATTTCATATAATTGAAACCGAGCTATAACTAACAATAACCCTTAAAAACTATGTTATGAATGAAGAACATAGCTTTCAATGGCTTGAGGGACTAACAATAAATTTAAAACGGAAAATAGTGCTTTTGTACACCCTAAGCTAAAAGGTGTAGCAAATATATTGATTAATAGGTGCGACTATGGCACAACATTTCGTAAACCCACCTTAAATATTTTTGGATATAAGGACATTTTTATGAAAAAAAATTATTATTTTTTGCCTAACGTTATTTTTGTGATAATTTAAAAATGTTTTAGAAAATTATTGATTATGCAACTATTACTAATTTAAATAGAAATAGGCATGTAACTGTCATTTAAAAACGCTTAAGTGTCATATATTATCTTTTATCTCCTTTAAGTAATATCTAAAAGCACTACTAATAAAATTACAGCAATGAAATCAAATGTTAAAAGGCAAATTAATTAATCCTACATCATTTAAAGCTCTAATTTATAAATAAATTTTGATTTGTATAAAATGTGTACAAGAAAAAAAAGGACGTGAAATTCCTAATACAAATTTACTGATCTTACATAACTAAAACATGTAACATTTGTTTGAAAATGCGTAATGGTCACACAATATCCAATACCTCCTCTAAAAAATTATGAACTTCTTGCTTTAGACACAACAGTATTAAGAATTTTATTTCTGTATAAACTCGTAAAATGTATCACGAAAACGAAAACAAAGATTAATAACGTCTAACGTTATTTTTGTGATAATTTAAAAATGCGTCAAAAATTATTCATCATGCAACTATTACTCATTTAAAAAAAATAAACATGTAACTCTAATTTAAAAACGCGTAAGAGTCGCATATTATACAATTCCTCTTTTAATTAATATCTAAAAACACTACTAATGAAATTACAGCAATGAAATCAAATGTCAAAAGTCAAATTAAATAATCTACTTCCATAAAAGCTATAATTTGTAAATAAATTTTGATTTGTATAGAATGTGTACAAGAAGAAAAACGGACATGAAACTCCTTATACAAATTTTCTGATCTATCATAACTTAAACATGTAACTGTTGTTTGAAAATGCGCAAGACTTGCATAATATCCAATACCTCCTCTAAATAAATCATGAAATTATTGCTTCAGACACAACAGTTTTAAGGATTTTATTTCAATATAAACTTGTAAAATGTATCAGGAAAACAAAGAAAAAGATTAAAAAAAAGGGAAATAAATGCTAAGATGAATGATTTTTGTTAATAAATGCATCTCTTTACTTTGTTCATTTTGAAAATTTGTAGAAATTAAAATAAAGTTTTGAACTACTGCTAAACCTGCTCAAATAATAAGAGTTAATAGAATTATATGTAGCGCAGTTTTACGTGAATTGGTTTCTTTTAATCAATTGTTTCTGCCCCTTTATATCAACCTTTGTATTCAATTTTACCTTTTATTTTGGTTTAAAACATTAATTACTAAGTCTATTGATGAAAATGTATAAGATTAAAAACAAGTGAAATAATGTTTTCCGTTTTTGGTATTTTTGTAGTTCGATAAAAAAAAAGGTTTGCAAGTACTGGGACACGTAAGCAAAGATCTGCAGATGCTTGATCGAATTTAATTTTAAATGTGACAGCGATTAATTTTCTTTTCAACGCTAGGGTATTCTAAACTTCGTATTAGAGACTTTAAAAAAAGTCTCTGCAAAAGGTTTTTTAGGGAGTCGTATTATTTGAAAGTTATGAATTTTCTTTATAATACCTTTTTAATTTCTCACATTTTTTAGAAGATATTTATGAGTGCAAACCCTATGACTGTACTGGACAAAATACGGAATGTGAAGCAAATGGGAAAGAGTATACTTGTGAGTGCAAAGAAGGTTTCGTACCCAAAGATGAAGCTAAAAAAGGGCAATGGGATGCAGAATGCATTGGTAAGCAAAACTTCTCATCATTAAGAGTTATTCCTTTCCAAATTTTAAAAAAAAAATCTATGGATAATAAGAATTAAATATTGAATGAGGATCATAAGATTTGAATAAACAAATGAANGAGGACCATGTTAAAATTAATGGACTTAATGAAGAGAAAGCAGTTGCATCATTACCAAATTCTGTAGTTGGTACTTAAGTCTGTAGAAATTATAAAATGACTTTTTATATTTTAGAGAGAGAAATATATATATATATATATATATATATTTACATACAGGGGTCGGACGAAATAACTAAAACAATAATATACTAACACATGCCTTGAATTTCCCCCAAAAATACTTAGAGAATTGTTTTATGAATGAAACAGTAATACGATTTTACGATTTCACATAATTATCAATGAAGTAAAAAGCTTTTAGAGGTTTTTATTATTATGTGCAATAATTACAACAAAGTTTGTACAACGAAGCTTATATATTTTTAGATATATAGGCATTTAAATTTTTCTTTTCTGTCTAACGTTATTTTTGTGATAATTTAAAAATATTTAACAAAATATTATTCATTATACAACTATTACTCGTCTAAATAAAATTAATCATGTAACTGTCATTTCAAAAAGCGTTAGAATCACATAATATCTAATAATTCACATAAATAATATCTTAAGCAGCTAGAAATAAAATTTCAGCAATGAAATTAAATATTAAAAGACAAATTAATTAATCTACATCAATAACATCTGTAACTTGTAAATAAATTTTGATTTTTGTATAAAAAGTTTACCAGTAAAAACGAGGAAGTGCAATTCATTATACAACTTTTACTCATCTAAACAGAACTAAAGCATGTAACTGTTATTACAAAACAAGTAAGTTTCACATAATATCCAATACCTCCTTTAAAAAAATTCTGAACTTCTTCCGTTACACAAAGCAGTTTCGAGGATTTTATTTTAATATGAACTCGTAAAATGTATCAGGATACCGAGGAAAAAGATGAAAAAATGCATAGATGATCAATCTTTGTTAATAAAGGGAATCTTTTTACTTTGTTCATTTTGAGAATTTGTTAAAATTAAAATAAAGTTTTGAGCTACTGCTGAACCTGCTCAAATAATAAGATTAAAAAGAATTACATGTAGAGTAGTTTTACGTGAATTGCTTTCTTTTAATCAATCATTTCTGCCCTTTCATATCAAACTTTTTATCATTTTACCTTTTATTTTGTTTTGAAACTTTAATTATTATGTCTATTGATGACAATGAATAACATTTAAAGCAAATGAAATAATGCTTAAATGAATTAATAGCTTCTTAGACATTTTTGTAGTTGGATTAAAAAAAAGAAGATTTCGCATGTATCGTGACACATAAGTGAAGATCTGCTTTTACTTGATCGAACTTAATTTTAAATGTGACAGCGACTAATTTTCCTTTCAACGCTAGGCAGTTGTAAAAATCGTATTAAAGACATTATAAAAAGTCTCTGTAACAGGGTTATTTAGGGAGTCGTATCATTTAAAAGTTATTATTACTTTTTTTGTTAAATTTTTTCATTTTTTAGAAGATATTTATGAATGTAAACCCTATGACTGTACTGGACAAAATACGGAATGTGAGGCAAATGGGAAGGAGTATACTTGTGAGTGCAAAGAAGGTTTCAAACCCAAAGATGAAGCTAAAAAGGGGCAATGGGATGCAGAATGCATTGGTAAGCAAAACTTCTAATCATTAAGAGTTATTCCTTTCCAAAATTTAAAAAAAAATCTGCGGATAATAAGAATTAAATATTGAATGAGGATCATAAGATTTGAATAAACAAATGAAAAATTAAAAAAAAAACATGAAATATTATGTTTTCGCATGGAAGAGATCTTATATATTATTGTCGTTTCAATACATTTATAAAATAATATATGTATTTTAGCATATATTTACATAGAGGGGTTGGACGAAACAACGGAAACACTACTATACTAACACATTTTTTGAATTTCCCCAAAAAATACTTAGAGAATTTTTTTATCAATGAATCAGTAATAAGGTTTTCCGATTTCACATAATTATGAATAAAGTAATAAAGCCTTTAGAAGTTTGAGGGACTAACAATAAATTAAACACGGAAAATAGTGTTTTTGTACAACATATGCCAAAAAGTGGAGGAATAAATTTGAAAACTATTTTAATTATTATGTGCAATAATTAATTACAGCAAAGTTTGTCTACGTAGCTTAAATATTTTTAGATACAAAGGCATTTAAAATATTTTTCTGTCTAACGTTATTTTTGTGATAATTTAAAAATATTTATCAAAATATTATTCATTATGCAACCATTACTCGTCTAAATAAAACTAATCATGTAACTGTCATTTAAAAAACCGTTAGAATCACATAATGTCTAATAATTCATATAAATAATATCTTAAGTAGTTAGAAATAAAATTTCAGTTTTGAAATTAAATATTAAACGACAAATTAATTAATCTACATCAATAACATCTGTAACTTGTAAAAAAATTCTGATTTTTTGTATAAAGAGTTTACCAGTAAAAACGAGGAAGTGTAATTCATTATACAATTTTTACTCATCTAAACAGAACTAAAGCATGTAACTGCTATTACAAAACAAGTAAGTTTCACATGATATCCAATACCTCCTTTAAAAAAACTCTGAACTTCTTCCTTTACACAAAACAGTTTCGAGGATTTTATTTTAATATAAACTCGTAAAATGTATCAGGATACCGAAGAAAAAGATTAAAAAATGAAGTAAATGCATAGATGATCAATCTTTGTTAATAAAGGGAATCTTTTAACTTTGTTCATTTTGAGAATTTGTTAAAATTAAAATAAAGTTTTGAGCTACTGCTGAACCTGCTCAAATAATAAGATTAAAAAGAATTACATGTAGAGTAGTTTTACGTGAATTGCTTTCTTTTAATCAATCATTTCTGCCCTTTCATATCAAACTTTTTATCATTTTACCTTTTATTTTGTTTTGAAACTTTAATTATTATGTCTATTGATGACAATGAATAACATTTAAAGCAAATGAAATAATGCTTAAATGAATTAATAGCTTCTTAGACATTTTTGTAGTTGGATTAAAAAAAAGAAGATTTCGCATGTATCGTGACACATAAGTGAAGATCTGCTTTTACTTGATCGAACTTAATTTTAAATGTGACAGCGACTAATTTTCCTTTCAACGCTAGGCAGTTGTAAAAATCGTATTAAAGACATTATAAAAAGTCTCTGTAACAGGGTTATTTAGGGAGTCGTATCATTTAAAAGTTATTATTACTTTTTTTGTTAAATTTTTTCATTTTTTAGAAGATATTTATGAATGTAAACCCTATGACTGTACTGGACAAAATACGGAATGTGAGGCAAATGGGAAGGAGTATACTTGTGAGTGCAAAGAAGGTTTCAAACCCAAAGATGATGCTAAAAAGGGGCAATGGGATGCAGAATGCATTGGTAAGCAAAACTTCTAATCATTAAGAGTTATTCCTTTCCAAAATTTAAAAAAAAATCTGCGGATAATAAGAATTAAATATTAAATGAGGATCATAAGATTTGAATAAACAAATGAAAAATTTAAAAAAAACATGAAATATTATGTTTTTGCATGGAAGAGATCTTATATGTTATTTTCGTTTCAATACATTTATGAAATAATATTTGTATTTTTACATATATTTACATAGAGGGGTTGGACGAAACAACGGAAACACTACTATACTAACACATTCTTTGAATTTCCCCAAAAAATACTTAGAGAATTTTTTTTATCAATGAATCAGTAATAAGGTTTTGCGATTTCACATAATTATGAATAAAGTACATAGCCTTTAGAAGAAGTTTGAGGGACTAACTATAAATTAAATACGCAAAATAGTGTTTTTGTACAACATATGCCAAAAAGTGGAGGAATAAATTTGAATCTTGTAATAACTATTTTAATTATTATGTGCAATAATTAATTACAGCAAAGTTTTTCTACGTAGCTTAAGTATTTTTAGATATAAAGGCATTTAAAAATTTCTTTTCTGTCTAACGTTATTTTTGTGATAATTTATAAATATTTAGCTAAATATTATTCATTATGCAACCGTTATTCGTCTAAATAAAATTAATCATGTAACTGTCATTTAAAGAAGCGTTAGAATCACATAATATCTAATAACTCATATAAATGATATCTAAAATAGCTAGAAATAAAATTACATTAATGAAACTAAATATTCATCATCAGCATTGGCACGACAACCCTTTGTGAGCCTGGGCCTTCCTCAGAAGCTTTTCCCTTTCTGCCCTTCTCCCAGCAATTGTTTTCCAGTTCTTTACTTTCAGGATGGCAAAATCCTCATCCACACAGTCCTTCCATCTCTTTTTGGGCCTTTCTCTTAGCCTTTTATTGGAGGGGGTTGCATTAGAGACTCTCAATGCTGTTCGTTCTGGGCTCATTCTCACTACATGCCCGGCCCATCTCATTCTACTTAATTTAATAGATTTAATGAGATCATCGCCATCAAAGATTCTATATATTTCAAAATTATATCTTTTCCTACAGTTGTCGTTATCGAGTATAGGGCCAAAGATGGTTCGTAGGACCTTCGTTTCGAAGGTTGCTAATAACTTCTCTCCCCTTTTTGTTAAAGTTCATGTCTCTGAAGCACAAGTCAAAACTGACTTGATTAATACCTCTTAAAGTAAGATCTTAGTCTTTCCTTTTATTAAGAAACTAAATATGCGAAGACAAATTAATTAATCTACTCATACAATTTTTACTCATCTAAACAGAACTAAAGCATGTAACTGTTATTTCAAAACAAGTAAGTTTTACATGATATCTAACACCTCCTTTAAAAAAATTATGAACATCTTCCTTTACACAAAACAGTTTTGAGAATTTTATTTTAATATAAACTTGCAAAATGTATCAGGATACCGAAGAAAAAGATAAAAAAATGAAGTAAATGCATAGATAATCATTCTTTGCTAATAAAGTGTATCTCTTTACTTTGTTCATTTTGAAATTTTGCTAAAATTTAAATAAAGTTTTGAGCTATTGCGGAACCTGCTCAAATAATAAGATTAAATAAAATTATATGTAGATTAGTTTTACGTGAATTGGTTTCTTTTAATCAATCATTTCTGCTCTTTCATATCAAACTTTTTATCATTTTACCTTTTATTTTGTTTTGAAATATTAGTTATTAAGTCTATTGATGACAATGAATAACATTTAAAACAAATGAAACAATGTTTTGTTTCTTAGACATCTTTGTAGTTGGATTAAAAAAAAAAAAGATTTCGCAAGTATCGTGACACGTAAGTAAAGATCTGCGTTTGCTTGATAGAATTGAATTTTAAATGCGACAGTGACTAATTTTCTTTTCAACGCTAGGGACTTTAAGACTTTAAGAAAAGTCTCTGTAAAAGGTTATTTAGGGAGTCGTATCATTTAAAAGTTATTAATTTTCTTTATAATATTTTTTTGTTAAATTTCTTACATTTTTTAGAAGATATTTATGAGTGCAAACCCTATGACTGTACTGGAAAAAATACGGAATGTGAAGCAAATGGGAAAGAGTATACGTGTGAGTGCAAAGAAGGTTTCAAACCCAAAGATGAAGCTAAAAAAGGACAAAAGAATGCGGAATGCATTGGTAAGCAAATTTTCTAATTAATACGAGTTACTCCATTCAAAAAATCTATGGATAATAAGAATTGAATATTGAATGATGATAATAAGATTTGAACAAAAAAAATGGAAAATTAAAAAAGCATGAGAAATTAAACTTTTATGAGAAATTAATTACTTTTAAAAACTTTTTAGGAAATACTTAGAGAATTATTTTATTACTTGATAAACGATTACGTTTTAAAATTTCCACGTATTTATCAATGCAGAACATAACTTTTAGAGGCTGGAGAGACAAACAATAAATTGAAAACGGAAAATAGTGTTTTTGTTCACCCTATGCCAAAAAGTTTAGCAATAATATTTCAAACTTTAACAACTATTTTGATAATTATGTGCGACTTTGGTACAAAATTTCGTAAACCCGGCTTAAATAATTTCGAATTTAAAGGCTTTTTTATAAATTTTTTTTATTGTTTTGTCTAAGGTTATTTTTGTGATAATTCAAAAATGTTTATTAAAAGTATTCATTATGCAACTATTACTTATTTAAATACAAATAAGCATGTAACTGTCATTTAAAAACGCGTAAGATTCTTATATTATCTGATAACTTTTTAAAATAATATCTAAAGACACTACCAATAAAATTACTGCAATGAAATCAAATGTTAAAAGACAAATAATTAATCTACGTCAATAAAAGCTATGATTTGTAAATACATTTTGTAGATGTGTACAAGTAAAAAAAAAAGGAAGTGAAATTCATCATACAAATTTACTGATCTAACCTATTTAAAATATGTAACTGTTATTGTAAAATGCGTACAAGTCACATAATATTCATTACCTCCTCTAAGAAAATTATGAACTTCTTGCTTTAGACACAACAGTTTTAAGGATTTTATTTTAATATAAACACGTAAATTGCATTAGGAAAACAAAGAGAAATTTTTAAAAATAAAACAAATGAATAGATTAACGATTTTTGTTCAATTAAGCTTCGACTATCACTACTGATTCAAATAATTATCAGAAGCACCCCAAAGATGTAAAGAATACAATTAACTACAAAAACTACATGAGAAAACAGTGGCAGAAGTATAGAAATCCTATTGAGAAAAGAGAATTAAACAAGCTCACTAAAGAGATATAAAACATGCGCGAAAATCATAGAAACGAAAATTGGCATAAAAAAGTCGCCAACTTAAATATTACTGACCAGACTATATGGAGAAAGTCTAAATCACTAAAATAAGCCAAAGTTATAAATAAGCCTATCACATATAACAGCAAAAATATATGCAGTGATTACGAAAATATTTACATATTTGCTGACACCTTTGAGAAGCAGTTTTCCTTAAACATCTTTCCTAGTAATAAGCAACACGAAGTCCAAATCAACCTTATCTACAACAACTATTTCAGCAGTAACGTGTAAAATGAAGAGATAAATAAAATCATCAAAAAGCTAAGTAGCAGAAAATCTCCAGGTGAAGATCACACAAACAACTGATAAAACATAATGATAAAACTTCCTTTGAATAAAATCAATGATATTATTGATATTTTCATAATGCATGTCTCAATCATAACTACTGCCCTAGCAATTGGAGAAATGCCATTATCATATTGTAAGGACTCTAGACACCCAGAGAACTTCCGACCAATAAGTCTCCTGCCTACTTCAGGAAAAATATTAGAACGAATCATTCTTACAAGGCTTGAACCATTACTTGATATTCATTTATTTCACCTCAAGCTGACTACTTCATCCGATTGCCTTGTATGTAAGACCGGACAAGCCATGACTGCTGTGCATCTGGACACGTGCTCTACCCTGAAGGACTTTGACTGTATTGTTAAGAAGTACTGGAGAGCTAGATGCCTAATGACCTAATAGTCAATGGCTGGTACTTGTTTAATAAAAAAACCTTTATTCCGAAAGAACAGTATGGTTTTCGAAAGAAACTCTCAACAACTAAACAGCTCATACGCGTAATTGATTTCATCATTGATGATTTATTCAAGAATGAAGCAAAGCTTTTGACCGCGTCTGGCATTGAGCACCTCATAACTGAATAAATTCATCAAAAAATACCTTTCAACCTCATTAAAATTATAGATTCCTATTTAAATAGCAGATCTTTTCAAATCCTCCTTAATGGTCACCTCTCACCCTAGAGGAATACACATGCGGGTGTACCGCAAGGTAGTATTTTATTACTTACTATTTGCTAGTGACTTTCCATCCTGCAACACTCAAAGAAATCCTCTCATTGCCTATTATGCAGACGATACTGCTACTGCTGTCAGATCTTCAAATGCAAATATTGCCACAACTAAAATGAATAATCTAATGCCTGATATAGAAACCTGGTGTGCAGACAATCAGATTCTAACTAATGCAGATAAATCAAAACTAGTGTTAAATCGATGACAAAAGAGAAATAAAACAATCAAGAATAATGTAACACTATTTAATAAAACTATCCCGATTGTCAACCAAGCTAATTACCTGGGGCTAATAATAAATGGACTAACCTAGAATCTTTATATCAAAAAAGTAATAAATAAGGCTCACGCAGCCTACAGCTGCCTTAGACCAATTATTGACTCTTCCTCACGCATACCTCTTAATTTCAAGAAAATCTTATACATCATGTGCATCAAGCCAATACTTACGTATAAGCCTATCAAGCCAATATTACGTAAAGCCCAGCCTGAGGGTGCATTAAACTATCTCAAATTAAGAAGTTGGAAACTACACAGAATAAAATTCTAAGTCCACCAGTCTAAAGTCTACCAGAACTTCTGCTACTTCTCTTGATATACCTGCTAACCACAGTACCACAGTCACCCATGGGCATTACTACAAATGAAGGAGCGGAGTGCCCGCTCCGATTGCAGGGACTCCGTAAATTCCTACAATCTAAGTCTAATGTCTCTATTTCGTGGGATATGCCATTAGTCTCGATCGCCACTAAGCCCAATACAGATGGAGGAGTCGGGTGCCCGCTGCCACGGGCAGGAACTCTAGTGATCCTCATATCAAGCAAGATAGGGTAATGTTTCTAGACGCCGTGATTTATGTTGAAAGATGCTAGGTAACGTGAAATGAACCTCATTTCCGTAACGATGAACGGTAAAGTGCCATCCATTAGAAAAAATAAAATCATTGTAATTTATTTCGTAAGTTATTACATTAGTTTTCATTTACTGGAGGATTACCAGATGAAAAAGTTCAAATACAGACTGTTTCTTTTTACTAAATTATTGTTTACTTAGGAACCATGTGATATAATATGTAACTTTTTATTATACTAATTATGTCTACGTATTCATCGCTAAGGACGAATTAGAGCCGCCGTGGCTTAGGGGATAAAACGTTCGCATACCAATGAGGTGGACCAGATTCGAATCCCAGATGTGGCTGGTTAATACGAATAAAGCTCGTGGCTCGCTCCTACCACAATTCTAACGTGAAATATCATTAGCTATAGACAAATCACGGGTTAGAATCACTTTGCCTTCGGGGTAACCATAAAAGGTTTTTGTGGTTTTCCTCTCCATGTAAAGCAAATTTGCGTTTGTTTCTTCAAAAAGTCCTCCACAAAGACTAGTTTGTATCACTACTTGATCCCCGAATTTCTTTGCCTTCCGTGATTTGTTCAAATTTACTAGACAACGGAATTGAACATTGATAGTTGTAAATAATTCACAACAAATATGTTTCAAAATACTTACAATAAACAAATTGTTTGCATATTTCAGTACCTCACCGGGAGAGCCTTCCTACACGATTAATATGTAAAGATAAATTATAAAAAAATAATAACAAATTTATGCTGACTTAAATACATTTATTTTAAAACTGTATACTGATAAAATACAATATTACACCACTAGTTAAAAATAATTATAATCCTTTACCTTAATTATTCTTATACTATTATAATTTAAGTAAAATTCCTTGCATTAGTTAATGAGATTAGAAGTTAGGAAAAAATTACCATAACATTTGGTTAACCATAACATAATCAACAAATAATCAACAAATGAGAAGAACTCAAATAAGTGTTTTGGATCTATTCTTCTTAAAAATTAAATAATAGGATATCTAGGTTTCTATTTTTTATTTTAGTAATTTTGCGTAAAATTTTTTTTCTGGTGACAACAATCTGTGAAGCTTATTTAAATTATATTTCCCAACAAACATGCTTCAGAACATATAAAATTAAACAAATTGCTCACAGATTTCACACTACAGTAGAAGAACTTTCGACACGATTCAAATGTAAGTATCATATATTTTTACTAAAATGTAATTTTGTGCTATGGCAAATGCATGCGTTAAAAATTGTACATACTGTAAACATCCATTTTATGTTAACACCCAATTAACACCAATATTAACCAATAATTGCTTCGTTACTTTAAATTTTTTATATGTTAAATAACGCATACCAAAACTATTTTGTCTGTTTTAGTTTCTGATTTATTTTGTCAGTTACTAAATAGCTTTTCCTTTATTGGATGATCGCCGCATGAGAAAGTTATAAAGAAAGAAACATTTCCTTATTGATAACTTTTGCTTAAAAAGTAAAGGATTCGTCATAAGTTTCTGTTATTTATTATAGTACTACTAGTGGGCTGCGCCCCTGCTCGCTAACGCTCGCCAATCCCCGAAAATTGCTACGCAATCTTATATGGTTTGCTTCGCAAAACAAGCTGGCTTCGCTCGCTACTAACTTAG